GAAAAAAGACACCCATTCCTCTTCTTTACCGGCGAGGAGTTTAAGTTTACGGTAAAGTGCGAGGAGGCATGGCATTTTTTTAATTGTCCTTGCGGTTTGAAAGATTAACTTCGCACCGCGAAAGAAGTTTTGCGCCCCCGTCTAAGTTCTCTCCAGAGCGGAGAAGCCAGACAAACGCCTGCCAACGCCGTCGCCAATCCGAAGCTGTAAAACAGCGTTTGCCAGGAGCTCGAGCTCAGCAAAACTGTGAAGACGCCTTGAAGGATGGACCCCACCGATCCGACGCCGCCCACCACGCCGCTGATGGCGCCTGCGTGCTTGGCCATCTGGATTTGCTCCAGGTAGTCCAAGAGGAAGGAACCCGAGAGCAGCGCATCGATAGCAAAGGCGAAAAACCCAATAATGGCGACCACGGCCGCGAACAGTAAAGCTTGCTCCTCAAAGAAGCGGGAAAAAAAGGCAAAACAAAAGGTGCCCAGCACCATACCAGCTGTAAAGAGCAAAACAACACGCGTGCGACCACGGCCGTGAAACAACCAGTCCGAGATGTACCCCGAGGCCACAGTGCCGACCACTCCGCCAATGTCAAAGGCGGACGTCAGATATCCAGCAACCTCAGTGGTGTACTTTAATTCGTGCACGGCAAAATATGGAAGCCAAAACATGAATCCGTAGCGGACAAGTTTGTGCAGGAAGTACGAGGCACATATACCACGCACACCTGGAAGCTTAATAATAGTACAAAATGTGAGGGAAACAGACTCTTCATGGGCCTCGTCGTTATCATTCTGCCGAAGCGGATACTGCTGCCCAACCGACGAACCTGTTGGCCGAAGCGAGGAACCATACACTTCACCGTCTTTGTTCAGAGGAAGTGAGTCATCGATACGCGCCCAGCTGGTGGGCTGCGCTTCACCTTCAACCTGCTGCACCGAAAGGAAGCCAACCACATTTGGATGTTGAACAAGTACCAAAAGCACAACGCCACCCACAGCCAAAATAAGTGCCGCTTCAGCTCCAACAGAAACACGCCACGAATAGCCTTTTCCAATAAGAAAGGCAGGAAAAACATTTCCAATCACGCCTCCTACCGCCATATTTGTTGACCACCACCCCATCACTCGACCACGTTCGTTGGGAAAGACCCAACGATTCATTATTGAAAGGCATGTTGCCCAGCCGGCTGCTTGTGCAATACCGTTGATGGCCCACGCCACACAAAAAAGCGACAGCGAGGACGCAAGTCCCAGGCACGCCAAAGCCGCGGCAGACAAGAGGATGCCATACAAGAGAATCTGCTTATTTCCCCAACGTCTGCTGATGCGCCCGTACAACAACTGACCAAAGGTATACGAGAAGACAAACACACTATCCACAAGTGAGGTTTCGGCTGGGGTCAATCCAGTGTCACGCTGTATATCGGCTCGTGCGACACTCATAGGCCGACGAACCACGGTGTAGGCGGCGTACGTGATCCATAACGTAAGAAAGACACGGAAGAAGCGAACCTTATTGTATTCTCTGAACATTTTATCAAGCGAGTTGCCAACAGAAACAAACACACAAACAGCGAATCAAATCTGTTTTTTTTTTAATTTTCCTCCTTCCTCTTTACCGCTTCGTTAAAGAAGTGTTTCCCGAGAGAAGGGGAAACAAACGTGTGCCGCTTCGCTCACGATGTGTGTGTGTGTGTGTGTGTTTGGTTTGTCCAAACCCCTGCAGACGCAGCAAAGTGAACAAGAGGAGGCATGAGCGGCACGGAAGTCCCGCCGCACTCCTTCCCCCTCCGACACCGCAACTTAGTTGCTTCGTCCTGCCAGCAACCAGGGCAGTAATCGCAGGCAAATCAGCGCAAACATAAAAAATAATAATAACAATAATAAATTGCAAGCTGAGGAAGTAAAAGTTTTTTCTTGTAGGATTAAAGTACTGCGGTTACACCTCAGTCAGGGCGAGTTCACAAATGTCACACAAAAACAGCAACTAGAAAACGAAAAAAAAAGAACGGGCCAAACAAATAAAAACAGCACAGAAGAAGTGAAGGCCCGACACTCCAAACATCCCCCCGACGCGTTATCTAAAACCCAATTCACGCAGCGTTACGCAAAATTTAAGCGACAACAGCAAG